GACTTAAAATATTTACTGATGAAGATCAAAGAGCACAGCCTTCGTTATGGATTACATCTCAATGTAAAGAAAACAAAAATCCTCACCACTGGACCAATAAAAAACATTCTTATCAATGCAGAAAAAACTGAAGTTGTCAAGGACTTCATTCTTCTTGGATCAACTATCAACACTCGAAGATGCAGCGGTCAAGAAATCAAGCGACATATTGCATTAGGCAAATCTTCTGCACAAGACCTTTTTAAAGTGTTGAAGAGCAAAGATGTCAGCTTGAGGACCCCCAACAAGATGCAGCCAGAGTTCTCTTTGGAGACCAAGGTGGCCAAACTTCGTCTCTCATACTTCGGACATATTGTCAGGAGGGACCAGTCACTGGAGAAGGGTATCATGTTTGGTAAGATAGAGGGTCAGAGAAAAAGAGGAAGACCCCCAACAAGATGGATTATCCAAGTGGCAGCATCGATGGACTCAAGCGTGGCAACAGTGGTGAGGTTGGCCCCGGATCGGGCAGTGTTTCATTCTGCTGTGCATAAGGTCACTATGGGTCAGAACTGACTAGATGGCACCTAACAACAACAATCAATCCAGTGCACTGAGGAGAAAAGCATGTTCCTTTGATATGAAGAATCTTCTATTCGATTGAAATTTTGAACAACTTTCTTTCATACGCAAAAGGCTAGCCCAACAAATTGTACCAACTGACACTTGCTCAGAGTATCAAACATCTTTAGCTTCATTTACTCAGGTTCTGGTCAGCTCAATCATAGCCACCCAACCTAGGTCAAATGGGTACCAGCTCAAAGTTTGGGAATTCACACACACCTCCCTGCACTTCAAATCAGCTGCCCCTTCACTCTCAACCCTAGGCCCTATGGGCTAGGTCAGTGCCCTTGAGCTCAGAAGTTCACACAATGGCCTAAACTTCAGGCTAGGCAGCCTTCCCTCTCTTATTTCAAGGTCAGTGTGTGCCAATAGAATATGTCCAAACTCAGCTCATGTCATCAGTGCTGCATTTCCCCAAACTCTATTCACACATAGGCCCATGTGGTCACCAGCCAGCTTAAAGCTCTCCAGTTCCCTTTAACTTTCAGTCCTAGAAGGGTTTTGTTGTTTTTTTTCCTGTTGGGCCAATTTTTCTTTGCCTTGATGCCTCCAAAACTCAAAATGCCAAACTGTTGGCTTTTTTCTGCTTTCTTTCAATCATGAATCTCTTGTTCTACCAACAATTTTGGGTTGGTCTGAATGTCTTTTCAAATGCAAATTACAAACTCTGATTATTTGGGTGCGGTTCAGGTATTCCACTTAATGCCCCATACTCTACAAAGCCTTTAACCTAGAAGATTTTTTCCAGGCAAATTCTAACTCCCCTTTTAGCAAGTACAATCAAGTATAGGTTGAAGGTGGGCTTATAAATTCTCTGTAATCACAATTCCAAATATTCCTATCATAGATGTTTGTCAAATATTTGCATTAATATGCAGGAGAAACCCAATATACATAAGACAGTCAAACACATAAACCTTTTAAATAAACCTCCAAGTTCAATCTTTTCTTCTCCCTAGCACTAACCCTATTCAAATGCATATGTGCCTCTGGCAGAGTGGATTCCAATAGGCCTGGCCCTCCACCTGCCCTGTTTAACTAGCTTGTCATTGGCTCCAAGCAACTCCAGAAGCTTCTGCTGTCCCCTCTGTTTAAGTATTTTATCCCATGTTACTTCATTTTTTCTCTTATTAAACCTCATAATGTCATAGGTCTGAAACCACTGCAGTGAATCCTGATCGCAGTGCCAATTGCTTAAACCAGGTGAGGACCGACCATGTCTGACTTCTTCTGACTCCACAATAGAGAAAGAAGACCAAACTCAAGATCAGCTCAAGGCTGATTCCTATGAAGTGGAGGTCAGACATGCTTCGACCCTGTATCAGTGACTTTAAAATCAGTCAGACTGAGAACCAATTTGATTTTGTTTCTCTAGAACCCCACTCACTGGTACCACATTTCTTAGGCCAGGTTTTCTAAGGACGTGAAACATATATATGTATAAATATAAAGAGAAGTTTATTATCTTAAAATTTTAGGATCCCAGGTCCCCAGCAGAAGAGAGGGTATCACTCCCATATGTCCATTATATTGGGAACAGGTCATATTCCCCCAAGGAAGCAACCCTTTAATTGACTGGCTGCTCATAGTCACTCATCAGAGTTAACTCTGGCTGTATCACGTTTCATTGCCATGGGAATAAGTACATCTCAACTGCTAAACCTCTGGAAATCCTGACCTAGTCCAGTTGACACAGAACACTGACCATTACATATGTGAACTTACTGAAACATATTGAAGAAAAAGAATTGAGCCAAGCAGTATTGTAATGCCATGGGTATACTGCTAGGTCTCTTCTATGGTGGTTGATTTTTTTAATTTTCAAGAACAAAACTTTATTTTCTCAATTTCTGGAGGTTAAAAGTCCAAATTGGGATCTTGGTCATTGATTCCTTCTATGGAATGTTCTTCTAGTTTCTAGTGTCTGCCAGCAATCCTTGATGTTCTTTTTTTTTTTTTTCTTTTAATGCTTTATTGTGATTTATGTGATAGTTTACATGGGAGAATATCAGCTTCACATTGATCCCGTTGTATATTGTTTCCTTGCCATGGTTACAATACCTTCCATGCATCATCCATCAACCAAAGGGGATACCCTGTGAGCCTGCCCCTCTGTCGTCCGCACACTTCCCCTCTCTCTCTCCAGGTCCAAAGTCTCCAGCCGCTCCATCTCCCCATGTCATCGTCTCTGCCTCCATCCCTGGTGTCACTGCTTCTCTGGTGGTTGATATTTTGACTTCAAAATTTATTTAACTTGGCTATGATAATTCCTATGTAAGATTTGAGCAAAATAGTTCTAATTTTGTTCCTTTTTTGTTTTCCTAGTTCGTCCAACTATATCCAATAGTGGCAACCACCCTACTGAAGTGACTGTGACTCGAGGGAAGAGTACTTCCTTGGAATGTGAAGTGCAGGGCATTCCTCAACCAGCAGTGACCTGGATGAAAGATGGCCACCCCTTGGTCAAGGGAAAAGGAGTGGAAATACTGAGTGAAGGTCGTATCCTTAAGTTGAGGAACATTCATGTATCTGACACAGGCCGATATGTGTGTGTAGCTGTGAATGTAGCAGGAATGACTGACAGGAAATACGACTTAAGTGTACACGGTAAGTCTAAAGAGTCTTGGTAGGTCTAATCACTGGTTGATATAATCTGTAGCCTTCTGGATAGAGCTGTAGTCCCTCAGTGCTGAAAGTGTTCTATTTATAATCTATTATTTTCCAAATAAGTACCAGTTCTCTTATCATTTCACATTCTATGTCCTACCTCCCATTTCTTATTTGCTGAGATAAACACATAATATTATTCTTTTAGGAAAGAAAATAATAAAATAGATTATTGTTTTCTTCAAGTACATTCAACTGAATGGTGTCCAATGTTAAATTCTACAACCATATGTTTTCTAAATTAGCTCTCTTAACCAGACTGGCATAACCCTAAATTCCTTTGAGCTTTCTGGCTCTGTATCATTTGGGAATGACTTTTCAAGAAGTCTGCTTCAATATGTTAATTAATAAGCCATAAACGTTTTTCTAAAAAAGAAAAAAGGCCCATGCTCATAGACACCTAATTGGATATATTCAACTCGAAATGTAATGTTTAAATATATAGAAACAATGATAAATTTAATAGACACAAATCTGAAAACTTAAATACACAAAGTCAATGTTAATATTCTGTAGCTTGCAGCCAATGTGTGAACCAAGTCCAAGGGATCAGAACATAAAAGAGAAAAGGAATCATCCTAAGTATCTTTTCATTAGATTAATTTCTTTGGACAAGAATCGTTTGTTAGAAAATTCTGTATATAGCATGAAGATCATTAATTCATATTGGAAACTTACCAGAAAAGACAAATGACCCATGGGAAATACCACAATTAGAATAATAATATGAAAGTCATTTAGTGCTAATCTTGGGGAAGAAGTGATATTTTTACTTTCAGAAATTTTAAACACATACACATAATAAAAAGCACATCATTGTGATTGCTTACTTTGGTTATAAACTAACCTCTTGCTGTTGAGTCAATTCTGTCTCAGGATTCCTGAGACTGTAAATCTTTATAGTGCAGACAATTGCATCTTTTTCCTGCAGAGTGGCTGTTGAGTTTGAACCACTCTCCATGTGGCTAGCAACCCATGCTTACCTACCCCACTGTGTCAACAGAGCTTCGAGCCTTACTTACTAGTAATCAGAAAATAAAATGCTTATTATTAACAATAAGCTGGTTGGTATTTGTGTTTTGATATGTATTGGCTACTTTACTGTCCATTTATTACTTGTTTTGTTATGTCTTACAGCACCTCCGAGCATCACAGGGCTTCGTGGGACACCTGAAAATATCAGTGTGTTAGAAAAGAACTCAGTGTCCCTGATTTGTGAAGCTTCAGGAATTCCCCTGCCTTCAATAACCTGGCTTAAAGATGGGTGGCCTGTCAGTCTTAGCAGTTCTGTGAGAATACTCTCAGGTATTAGAAATTCTAGTAACCTGATATTTTGGTTAACTTCATAAAACCAAAAAATTCTTATTAATTCTCATTTCTATGTGTTTTTATTGCCTTATATGCTTTTATATTACTGTTCACTTTGGTAATCATGCTAAAATATATTGAGATGGACTCAGAGCTATATGAAAATTCATAAAAGCTCTAAAATTCTCTGTTGTTATTGTTATTAAGTGCTGTTGAGTTGGTTTCAACTCACAGTGACCCTGTATAGGATTTCCCAGAAGTGGCTGTTGAGTGTGCAACACCAACCTTGTGGTTCAAACTGACCGTACAATTGAGTGCTTATCTTACAGCACTCCTTTTAAAAAGATATCTTGAACTCTTCTGTTGCATAAATTTGGGGACTATCATTTCATAGTCCCAACATTTAAGTAATAGGAAAGTATCAAACAATTTGAAAAGTAAAGAATGGAAAGAAGTGTTGAAATTGAATCCCAAGTGTAGAGTGAATCATGTTACATAATGTGCCTTCATGGCCAAGTTTTCCAATTTGTTCATGATTCTAATCTGAGTAAAACTTATATTTCCTGGATGTGGTAGTTTTTATGAGCTAAGACTTCTACCATTATTATAAAAAGAATATTCAGCCTATTCCTCATCTAATTATATAGAAAAACCTAGACACCTTGTCTTTTATGAATCAGTACAAGCTTGGAGAAAGGTTTAGTGTGGCATGCCACAGAAAATAGCACGTGGTTCCTTTTACTAACAAATTGGAGAAAGACAAAGAAAATGAATGTGCCAAATTTGTGGTTATATAAAAAGATTAGATACCTAGAAAAATATCTAAAAGGTTGAATGAAGGCTTCAGAATTCAGACACATAGAAAAATACCTAAAATGTTGAATGAAGGCTTCAGAATTCAGACACACCCCATGCTGGGAACTTCTGAGTGAAGTCTACAAGCTAAAGTGTGGTCAACTTCTGCACATAGGTTCACAAACCAATGATAAAAATGATGCTGAGATCATAGGACCATGGAATGTCTGAAGGATAAATTAAGGAAAATTGGAAGTTGTCAAAAAATTAAATGGAATGCTCGATGGTTATTCTAGACTTTAGTGAGCTGAAATGAAATGGTACTGGTCATTTTGAATCAGGCAATCTTACGTTCTACTATTCTAGAACTGATAAATTGAGCAGGAACAGTGTTGCATCATCATATAAAGAACATTCATGATCAATTTTGAAGTACAGTGCTGTCGGTTATAGAATAATGTCTGTACCCCTAAAAGAAATATCAGTTAATATGACTGTTATTCAAATTTATGTGCCAACTACTGATGCCAAAGATGAAAAAGTTTAAAGTGTTTACCAACTTCTGCAGTCTGAAACTGGTCAACTATGCTATCAAAAGTCATGGTAATTACTGGTGATTGGAATGTAAAAGTTGGAAATTAAGAAGAATCAGTATTTGGAAGATATAGCCTTGGTGATAGAAATGGTACCAGAGGTAGCATGATAGAATTTTGTAAGACCAATGATTTATATTACAAAATATGAATCAAATACTAAGGAATTGATTTGACTACGTCTGTGGAAATAAACAATGGAGAAACTCAATATCTTCTGTCAGAACAAGGTCAGAGGCCAGCTGTAAAACAGACCATATTCAAGATCAAGTTGAAGATGAAGAAAAATTTAAAATTTCGTAAGACCCAATGTACAACCTAGATTATACTTGACTTAAGTTGAGACTATTTCAAGAATAAATTTGACACACTGAATTCTCATGGTTGAAGACAAGCGAAGTTATGGGATTACATCCAGGCATCCTCCAAAAAGAAAGTAAAAGGACATTAAAAAAATAAATAACAGGAAAGAAAGAAATAACCAAATTTGATATCAGAAAAGATTTTAAAGCTTTCTTCTGAATGAAGAGTTGCTAAAGAGAACAGAAGAAATGATGACATAAAAGAACTGAAGAGATTTCAAAATGTAGCTCAATAAAACAAAGCAACGTATTATGGTGAAATGTGCAAATCTGGAATTAGAAAATCAAAAGGGAAGCACACCCCTGGCATTTCTTGAAAAAAAAGAATTGAAGAAGTCAAGTCTTGACAATATTAAAGTGTTCTATGGGCAAAACATAGAAGGACACAGAAAATATCAAAAGAACACGGAAGAAAATCACAAAATCACTATACCAAAAATAACTGGTTGAAGATCGACCATTACAAATGTAGAATATGATCAACATAAAGAATCAATGGTACTGAAGCCTCCAAGTTCAAGTTGTACTGAAATTACTGATAAAACAAGATTCCAGTAGAATACCAATTGAGATGGTTAAACAAATAGATGCAGTACTGGAAGCACTCACTCATCTATGCCAAAGAATTTGTAATACAACTGCCTGGCCAATAGAGTGAAAGAAAATCATATACTTGGCTATTTCAATGGAAACTTATCCAGTGGAATACAGAAAATATCAAACAATATCATTAGTATCACATGCAAATAAAATTATGCTGAAAACAATTAATAACTGGTTGCAGTAAATCAATAGAAAACTGTCAGGAATTCAAACTATATTCAGAAGAGGAATGGAAGCTGGATCTTAGCTGAAACTAAAAAATAACAGAAATATGTCTACTTGTGTTTTATTGACTATGAAAAGCATTTGACTGTGTGGATCATAACAAAGTATGGATAACAAAGAGTTGGAATTCCATAGCACTTTATTGTGCTTGTGTGGAACTTGAGTACATAGTACAAGAGTAAGTATCCTTTCAATTTGTATGGTGAGCAAATAATCCAAGAAGTTGGACTATATGAAGAAGAACATGACATCAGGATTGGAGCAAGATTTATTCACAGCTTGTGATATGTATATGTAACAATCTTGCTTGCTGCAAGTCTTAAAGCACTTACCGATGAAAATCAAAGACTACAACCTTCAGTATGGATTACACATCAACCTAAAGATGAACCAAATCCTCACTGTTAGAACAATAAGTAACATGATTAATGGAGAAAATATTGAAGTAGTCAAGGATTTTATCTTGCTTGCATCCACAGTCAACACCCAAGGAAGTAGTAGTCAGAAAATTAAATAATGCACTCCACTGGACAGAACTGCTGCAAAAGATCTCTTTGAAGTAAGAAAAAGCAAAGATGTCACTTTAAGATTTAAGATGCACCTGACAGAAGTCATGGTATTTGCAATTGCCTCATATGCATGCATAAGATGTGCAATGAATAAGGAATAGGAAAGAAGAATTAATGCATTTGAATTATGATGTTGGCTAAGAATATTGAATATGCCACGAACTGCCAGAAAAACAACACATCTGTGTTGGGAGAAATACAGCTAGAATTCTCCATAGAAGCAAGGATGACAAGACTTAGTCTCACGCACTTCAGGCACATTATCTAGAAGGACATCATGCTTGATAAAGTGGTGGTGATACTGGTAATGTGCTGTGGAGTTGACTCTGACTCATAGCGATCTTAGATAGCATTTCTGAAGCTGTAAATCTCTACAGGAGTAGAAAGCCTTATCTTTCTCCTACAGAGTAGCTGGTAGATGCTGAATTTGCAGTAGACACCTCAACTTAGTGTCTCATTCTATGGCACATAGGTTACTATGAGTCAAAACTGAGTCATTAGGCCATTAGGCACCCAATGACAGAGCTTCTGTGTTCTTCATGTAAAAAGACCTCCAAAACTTTTTACTCAATATGTAACAACATTTTATTGTGGCTTTAAAAATATGCAACATTCTGCCACATTAATAAAATGTAATAGATACAATATGTTAAATAATACAGATTTTTCTCAAATAAGAAAACTAAGAGGCCAAGTGTACTTCACAGTTCTTAGTAGGAAGACTGTTGTTAAAACCCTTGAGTTGGCTTTGACTCATAGTGACACTATGTAGGGTTTCTGAGGAGCAGTTGTTGGGTTTGAACCACTGACCTTTCAGTTAGCAATCCAGTGCTTAACCTATAGTGTCACACCAGAACTCCATTAAGAAGGCTTGTTGTTGTACAGTGCTGTTGAGTAGGTTCCGACTCATAGTGATTCTGTATAGGATTTTCAAGGAGCAGCTGGTAGGTTTAAACTGCCTACTTTGTGGTTCATAGTCCAGTGCTGACCCTACAGCACCACACCAGAAGTCCATTTTATTAAGAAGATTGGAAGAAGTATTTATTGACAATATTTTCAATGAATGGTAACCATGATGATAAATTATCTCAAAATAATTAATACGTCTGATTGAATTTAGCCTGAAAAACTAAAATGATCTCCATAGGATATGCACTGAACTGCAAACACAAGGTCAGGAATTTGAGCACATCAGTCATTACAAGGGAGATAGACGAGGTTTTCTGCTCCCACAAAGATTTACAGCCTCAGAAACCTTACACGGGGTCACTATTGAGTTGCAACCTATTCATGGACACTTTACTAACACCAGTGTATGGAAGATTTCATGGATACATTTTAGTCTAAATATGTTGTTGCTGTTGTTAAGTGCCATTGAGTCCTGACTCATAGTAACCCTGTATAGAGTTTCTGAGGAGCAGCTGGTAAATTTGAACCGCCGCCCTTGCAATTCAAACCTACTTTGTCGTCCAGTGCTTATCCTACAGCCACACCAGGACTCCATTGATCTAAATATAAACACCAACAAAAATATTTATATTACTTAAAATTAAAATGAGCTACTTTTTGAGGTAATGAGCTGCATGCATTCTCATAAATCTGTTCAAAGAAAGCATAGTTCCCATTTTTCATGAAAGATATTTTCCTAGTGTTGAAATTGTTGTGTGATGTTGAGTTGATTTCTACATCTGCAACCTTTTAAGACAGAGTAGAGCTGCCCCATCGAATTTCTTGGGCTGTAATCTTTGTGGGAACAGATTGTCAGGTCTTTTCTTCCACAAAACAGTTGGTAGGTTCTTTGGAATTAGGTCTGTATGTCTTGAGGAATGTGTTTCTTCATGATCCTGATTTACAAATAATAAGAGATATGTAAATTACTACTGACTTCATTTGTGATGCTCTCTCTTACTCTTTCTGTCTCTGTCTCTGTCTCTATCTATCTATCTATCATTGTTTGTTGTTAAGTGCCATCGAGTCAATTTCAACTCATAATAGTAACCCTGTATAGAGTTTTCAAGGAGTGGCTGGTGACATCGAACCACTGACCTTGTGTGGCACTTAATACAAACAACAACAAATACATATATTGTACCACTGCTCTTGAAGTTAACAGTCCAGTGCTTATGCTACAGTGCCATACCACGACTCCTCTGTTTCTCCATATAACTGCTTTACATACATTACCTAATTTTACACTAACCCAAAGAGGTAAACACTATTAATCTCTATCCTGGTGTAATGATGTAGGGTGAGCACTGGACTGCTAACCACAGGTAGTTCAATCCCATCAGCCACTCCTTGGAAACTCTATACAGGGTAACTGTGAGTTGGAACCAACACAAAGGCACTTAGTACAAATAACAACAAATATATATGTAAAACCACTGCCCTTGCAGTTAACAGGGCAGTGCTTATCCGAAAGCATCATGAGGTAATGTATGTAAAGCAGTTTACAGAATGCCTGTTCATATGGTAAGCAGCTAATACATGTTTATTGTTTGTTTGTTTTTTTGTCACAGACAATCTGGTAAAAGGGTTCCCTGTCTAGGGAAACTTTCTTATGTCTTTACTATGATACTTTCATTTTCCTAGGACTTCCAGTCTCTGCTCACCTTAAGGAATGTGTAGTAATAGCAACGGTTATAATTTGGTTACAAAAATCTGTACATATTTTCTTCTTATCTTGAAATGACTCTTTATATTATTTTGCTTATTATTTGACATCCCTTATTATTGAAAAATTTATAAAATAACATAATAAGACTCCTGTAAATGTAAAAGGCAACATAGAGTGTTATACTCCGGCTGACAATAGATTTATAGGAATGGTGTTTTCATTTCATTTAGTTTTTGTTTTCTTTGACTAGCAGCTGGGGAATCCCTGAACAAACACATGAGAAGTATTTCACCTTGTGGTGCTGCCAGAGGAGTTGTCCAGTTTTATAGTCTGAACATGTGTCTTATGCAATAGATAAATGAGAATCAAATCAATGGCATATGACCTCCCTGGCTCTTGCTCAGTCTGCTGCACACTTCTGTTTAATTAAGATTAGTCCTCTTCAGAAATTAAGTGCAGATTTTTTTTTTTTTAATGCATTACTTTGGTGAAGACCCTATTATTGTTATCAAGTTATCAGCCAAGAACAGATAACTGCTATAAAGATTTAAAAGCTACAAGAAATGTTTCCATAAAATGTGCAACTTACTTTGACAACCTTCTCTCCCACCCCCACCCACCACTGAAGTACGCGAGAGGATTAGGGAACAAAGAAAAAAGAAAGATCATGAGACTTATGAGGTTGAGTGGGTAGAGCCAACAGTGACTCATAGAAGTTGTTTTGCTTAAATCTCTCAACTGGATTCATACTATGTTCTCACTAATCTGGAATAGCAGTGAGTGTTTGGATCCTTCCCTCATCAACATGTTTTTAGCATGTTAAAATTATTTTTGTATTCAATTTTGTTAGCCTAAATTAAGTTGAGAAAAAACAAAAACATCAAACTGAGTTCAGGTTATGTATGTTGTCTAAAAAAGACTCAACCATTGGTACTACTGGACTTCTGGTGTGGTGCTGTAGTATCAGCACTGGACTGCGAACCCCAAGGTCAACAGTTCAAACCTATCAGCTACTCTTTGGAAAATTTATACATGGTTGCTATGAGTCAGAACAAATTTGTACTATTGAGTTCACCTTTGTGTGGATTTGGGGATGGGATGACAGCTTGTTGTGTTTATAAAAACAGGAAGCAGATGAAAACTACTGAGAAAACTAGATCCAGGTGAATATTTACATGAAAACTTAGTTAAACATTGTTTAAATTATTTCAGTTCAAATTTAGGACAACAGGCAAAATATACCAAGTAGAAATTATTAAAATCTAAGAAATGACTTGTTCTTATATCTTGTACTTGCTCTTAAAATAGTTTCTAGAACCCTACTTTCTTAGTGCATCTTTTAGTTCACTGAAGAGGGTTAAGGTTCGTTTGTTACTTCTTTCTTTGTCCTTAAATGTAGGTTCTTTCCAAAATGCACCTCTCATTAATTATAGCTTAACTTTAAGTCTACATACTCTTCTTGAATGAAGAATATTTCCTTAAACAAGATGTTACATACATTTCCAAATATAAAATGAACCCAAAGCAGATTTATTTAATAAATTTTTATATAAATACTAATACTAGGATTCTATGGAACTCAATTAAAATCAGTCATCTGTTCTCATTCCTTCACTTAAACATTGATGCCACCAGATGTCATCCATTCATCTTTCTAAAATTCCCATTCATATGTTTAACTTCAAACTGGGAATCTTTTCCTTTACATACTGCCACAGTTATCTTTCTAAGGCACACATTAGATCATGACTTTTTTGTTATTTATACAATTCTATGTCCTGTGGTGTACACAATAAAGTCTAAACTTCTTAGCTTGACTTTAAAGGGCCCACCATAGGAGTGATTCTGTAGTATAATGCACTGAACCGCAAAATCAGTTTGAACTGCAGAGTTGGCAGTTCAGATTTACCTGCTGCGCCTCAGAAACTCTGTACAGTGTCGCTATTAGTTGGAACCAGCTCAAAGGCACTTAACAACAACGATATCTTATGTGTCTTAGGTACCATTACTCATATCTTTCTACCGCCATGATCTTACTCATACCCCATGTAGTCTGGCTTTCTTTCAATTCCTCTGTGTGTTACAGTATACTTCTGTTTTAAGACTATGTTAAAAAGATAACCTGCTCTGTGAATCTCCATGTCTTATCTGTTGTCATAAGCATTGTCTTTATTTTTAGTTAGGACATCTTTTGTTGTTGCTGTTACTTCTCCATTGAACTAGAAAATTCTTCTCAATCATCTAGTATACTTCAAATAGGTTTTAAACTTGTCATAAATTCATTTTAAAGGACTCTAAACCCTGTATAAGGAGCTCTGGTAGTGTAGTGGTTACAAATCGGGCTGCAAACCTTAGGGTTAGCAGTTCGAAACTACCTGCTGCTCCGTGGGAGAAAGATGGGGCTTTCTGCTCCCGTAAAAATTTACAGCCTCGGAAACCCTATACAGGGTCGCTATGGGTTGGAATCAACTTGACAGCACTTAACCACAACAACAACCAAGTGTATTGGTTAAATTTTTACCTAAATTGTGTATCACTTGAATAACTTGTAAAGATTTCTTTTTCTTCTGGAGTCATCTGGTGATTTGCTTCTCCAGGAGGTAGGACTCTACGATTGATGCAGACCAGAACAGAGGATGCTGGCCGGTATACTTGTATCGTCAGGAATGCAGCTGGTGAAGAAAGAAAAATCTTTGGGCTTTCAGTATTAGGTACTTAAATATTATCTGCAATGCGTAGAAATGGTTCTAAGTGACTCATCATTCTGGGAGCAGAGTTGAAATTTACTTATAGTTTTGTCTCATATGGATATAGTGTTTGGTCACTGAACTTTCACATTTGGCAAGAATTCTGTGTTGGAAAAGGTTGGAGGCAATCTGATTAAAATGGTTAAAATGCCATGTCTTGTCATTTCCCAACTGTTCATTAATATTCTAAGCCACTGTATAACTTGAGTGCTTACTAGAGTTATTTGTTACAGCTATGGACTATTGAGTCAGTTCCTACTTTTAGTGACTTTGTATAGGGTTTCCAAGGAGTGACTGGTGGGTTTGAACTGTTGACCTTGTGGTTAGCAGTCCAGTGCTTATCCTATATATAGCACCATACCAGAACTCCTTAGTGAATCAAATAAATGTCTAACATATATTCTTACACACTGAATTGTTGAAACCATTTTATCCAGAGATTATGGTTTAGAATATTTATGATAATTAAATCCATAGCATATAACTTTATTATATATCTGAAAATTAGAAATGGTCTTATTAATATTGTGACATTAGTCTGGTAAGCAAATAATGAATCAGAATTTTGGGGTTTGATTTTAAGGGTATAGTTTACTGAAAATCTAAATATTGATGCCTATAAAATTAGAGTTGTGACTTACTTTTTCTTTTTTTTTTTCAGTCCCACCCCATATTGTGGGTGAGAATATGTTGGAAGATGTGAAGGTAAAAGAGAAAGACAACATTACATTGACTTGTGAAGTGACAGGTAAGGGGCTCAACTCTCATACATCTGCTATTGCCCTCACTCATTGCCTCCACTTTATACCTTAATTAGTTGGAAAAAGTCAAGCTACTATTATAAACCCCAAACCAAACCCACTGCTTTAGTTGATTCAATCTCATTGTGACCCTATAAGGCAGAGTAGAACTGCCCCACAGGGTTTCCAAGGCTGGAATATTTGCAGAAGCAGACTGCCACATCTTTCTCTTTGATTGGTACAAACCACAACCTTTTGGTTATCAGCTGAGGACTGAAGGGCCAAATCACCAGGGTACCTAGCTACTAGAATCTTGTTCCTGATTAATGTCCATTATCTGTAATGCCACCAAAGCACCCTCCTAGTTCTTTGAAATGAAATGTAAGAAACCAGGAAAAGGAAAGAATCATAATCATGGGAGGGAGGTTGAAATAAGAGCAGGAGTGTCAGAAGTAAGCTTCATCTAAGTAGAAACTTTCAAATTTGGCAAGAAACAATTATAGCTACCATGGTGGTGGTGGCTGTGTGCCATGGAGTCGGTTCCAACTCATAGCGACCCTGTACAGGGTTTCCGAGGCTGTAAATCTTTACGGGAGCAGAACGCCTCTTCTTTCTCCCATGGAACAGCTGGTAGTTTCGAACTGCTGACCTTGCGGTTCGCAGCCCAATTCGTAACCACTACGCTAGCAGAGCTCTTTATAGCTACTATAATAAGCACTTAAAATGGAAATCTAGTGTATAGGCAAAAATGCAAGTGAAAAATGCCTCAGATTCTGTGGCGACAAAAAAACAAATGACCCCATTGGTTGTTTCGTTCAATTTAATACAATTACTGTCTTATAAATAATTTCTACTTATATGTCGATTTTTCTGACATGAACTCCTCTTTTTCTCCCATGTTTCCTCCTTTCTTTCATTTTCCAGTTTTCTTTCTTTCTTTTTTTTTTTTTTTTAATTTAAGGTTTTTATTGTGGATTGAGTGAAAGTTTACAGGGCACATCATCAG